GCTGGGTATTTCTGAGCCCTTTGTTTTTCTAAGAAGTGAGTAAATGAGGACAGAGTGCTTTCATGCAACCAGCTTTTCTCTTTTGCAAATTGCATGTCCTGGGGTAGCCTTCACCGCTCAATTGTATAGGATGATCTTTGGAGATAAATTCCTTCAGGGATGTTTTATTTTGTAAAATAATGTAAAGAGATTGTCTTTTAAATTTTTGGGGGCTCATTTTGCTAATTGCCAAACTTCCTTTCAGCAGTCATTGATTTGTTTCTCTATATGAAATATTCTGTAATTGCTTATTAACATGAACTTTGCTGTGGAGATTATGAGACCATATTTTGGTTGCTGATTAGCTATTAAACTAATACTGGAGTATTAAGCTAATACTCCACTTAATACTGATCTGTTTTCTGTTCAGATTGGAAGCTGAAAGGTGAAAGAAGAATTATTAAGATGTATAGGAAATTTTTCATCTTTTTAATTGTTTTAGCAGGAATAACATAATGGATGTATATTTATTTTTTTTTAGAATGATTGATAAGAAGAATGGCCAAGATAACAGCTCTATGATTGACATAAATTACAAACAAGGGAAAAATGGAAGTCATATTGATGCTGTTCTTGACAAGCTGTATGTCTGTGCCAGTGTGGAGTTTCTGATGACTGTGGCAGATTTCTTTATCAAAGCTGTACCTCAGAGTCCAGAAAATCTGGCCAAAGAATCACAGATTCCAGTACGACAGACTGTCATGCCAAAAATCAAGATGGAGAAAGGTTAGCAGAATTTATCTGTTGTAGATGACAACTTGTCATGTATTTTAACAGAAATTACACACAGGAAAAAAAAAGAATTGGATAATTTAAGAATATAAAGTTACTCTTTTGAATTTAAATGTATTCAGTAGAATAACTTTAGTAAGGATAGATTTTTAAGAGAGAGGTGGAGTATATATATTGAATCAGGGCCAAGAAACCTCTGCTCTGGTTCCAGCTCTGCCACTAACATTTCTTTACTCATCCAGAAATAGAGGGAGTTAATAATCTGAGCCTGTGGTTGGCAGCCTGTTTTATAGAAAGGGAGTCTTATTCAAAGAAAATACTTGGAAGAATTATAGCATATTGAAGAGCAATTAAACAGATAAAAGCAGAAGGCGAGGGTATTGGAGGACCCAACGTGACAGCCCTGGACATCACCTCAGACTCTTCCAAGTCAGGAGAGGGGTTGCAGATGTCTGGTCTCCATGTATGCTGATGCCACTCCTTGACCCGTAAACCATTTATTCCAGTATTGCCGAATAGACCAATGATTTTCTCTGTTAAATTATAATTGTCTAAGGTCAGGCATTTTTCTCTCTAATGTGCAACTCAGCAAGATTGGAAAACTGCTGTTTACTGGGAAGGTCAGAATTTTATTTTTTCCTTTTACCTTTCTTAAACTGTGATCATGTGATATCTCTGTATTCATATATACATTTAATGTATTTATACTATAGATTGTACAACACGGAGTATATACTTCAGGATGAAATCAAAATAAACAAACAATATTGGTCTGTCTAGTTTATCAGGATCTCCTACCCTCCTCCTGATATTCCCCTCTCATTTCCCCTTCCTTGCTCCTGCAACGTGATGTAATATTCAGATATATATATACATGCACATTGATTCTGACAAAAAGAACTTCAAAACAAGATTATTTTTGTTAGGTCAAAGTGGGAATGATCCTCTTACAACAGGGATCAGATTGCACATAACCAGCATTTGTTAATAACCAGTTATCATTCATATTAACCAGTCAGTTATTAATATTGTTAATTTTACTGTATCCATAATAGGATATTAGATGCAACTTAGCAAATTATAGATAACATGTACACAAGTGACAAGGTTTACTTTACTAGAATGTTTATGGTTCCTATATTTGTTTCTTCAGATGACTCTGTAAGACCAAATATGACTTTAAAGGCCAAGATCACAGATCCAGAAGTGGTATTT